ATAAGTAATTAGAATAAGTACTTAATAAGTACTTAGTAAGTACTTGATAAGTGTTTAGTTATACTTCCTGATGATTATATTGGCAATTACATAAGTTTAAATTTATATAATATTAATACTATGATTATAATAACTTAAATCTTATAAAAAGTAGTTGCATAATTATATTCATACAAATATATATATAATATCTTTAGAAAGAAAAAAAAAACTTTTTCCGCCATGTTTAAAGAAATCGAAAACAATATGATCAACTTCTTTAGAAAAACAACAAAAATATTTTTACAATTGTTTTTGAACATAAATCATATACTGCAATGATTACTTTAGTTGACAATACTATTAGAGTTATCAATTTGGATATACCAGATTACAATTTGCCAAATAGTAGAAATAATAATAATCAGGTAAATTTTATTAGATATAGCACAGGTTTTTTTCATATTTTTATCAGCTGCCCTTGTATCAAAAGTGCGTCAGGAGTATGTTGAGCATAACTCAGATTTACATGAGAAGAGTATCTTCCTGCATTGCGAACATGAAGTAAAATTTCTAATTATATAATATAATTAGAAATTTTACTTCATATTCGCAATACAGAAAAATGCTCTCCTCATATAAATCTGAGTTATGTTCGATATACTCCTAACGCATTTTTGATGCAAGGGCAGCTGGTAAAAATACGAAAAAAACTTGTGCTATTAGATATTAACGAATTATTAATATATATTAATCTATATTAATTATAATAATTATTATATTTAATTAACAGTATATTGGAATCAGCTCATTATATAGTAATGAGCCCAGCAATGTTAATAATACTACTGACTTTCCTGCTACTGATTATCTACCTACTGAAGCACCTTCAGCTGCTGTTGCTTCTTCAACTACTCCTATTGCCACAAGTACTAACAAGTATAACAATTATAATAACAAGAAAAACAATGATAATAATACTATTGACTCTCCTGCCGCTGATTATCTACCTACTAAAGCATTTTTAGCTGCTGTTGCTTCTCTAGCAACTCTTACTACACCTATTACCACAAGTACTAATGATAATAATGAGTATAATAATAATAATGAGCATAACAATGATAATAATACTACTGACTCTCTTGCTGCTGATTATCTATCTACTGAAGCACCTTCAGCTGCTGTCACTTCTCCGCAACTCTTACTACACCCATTGCTACAAGTACTAATGATAATAACAAGCATAACAATAATAATGATAATAACGAGCATAGCGATAATAACGAGTATAGTGATACTAATGAGTATAGCGATAATAACGAGCATAACGATAATCCTGTAAGTTCTAATTAATAAATATTAATATTTAAATAACAATATTTAGTTACTAATAATTTTAATTAACAGCATAATAGAACAGAAATTACCTGTGGAGCTTCGTTTAATAACAAGTATAATAATCTTGTTATCTAGATAAAGTTTAACTATTATATTAGCAATAAAATTTTTTATTAAAATCTAAATAGTTAATTTTTATGGTTAGTGTGGAGAAGCAGAAATTGGTCTTAAAATATCGAGCAATAATCCTGATAACTTTGTTAAACCTAAAAGAAAAAAACAAAGGGTAAATATAAAGCTGATAGCATATATAATTAACCTTTAAAATGAAAAGTATGTAAATATTAATTTTGGTAAATATGTTTAATTTAATAAATTATTAATTAAATAATTTATTTTTTTCTATAGCATATATCGATTGATTATGAAAATAATGAATCTTCAGATCCTAAAAGCGTAGTTAAAAGTAAAACAAATTAATTAATACTGTATACAAATTTTATAAGATACTAAATTTAATTTATATATTAGATATTATATCTTTATAGTTTATTTCTCCTGATTTTTCCAAATTAAATAATTTAGATGGTATATATAGTACTATTTATTTTTTTTAATAATTGTTATATTATAAAATTTAACAGATTTAACAGTTTATTGTATTTTTTAAAATTAGACAATACTTCAAGTTCACCATCAGAATTTTCAGATAACGAATCAATCGAAAATATACAAAGCTTGAACTATTAGCATAATTGATTTTTATATTTAGATTATATATATATATATTTGTATGAATATAATTATGCAACTACTTTTTATAAGATTTAAGTTATTATAATCATAGTATTAATA